CCTTCCTTCCTTCCTTCCTTCCTTCCTTCCTTCCTTTTTTCCTCCCTTCTTCCCTCGCTGCCTCATTCTTCTTTCCTCCCTCCCTCCCTCCTTCCCTGCCTCCTTCCATCCCTCCCTCCCTCCTTCCTTCTCTCTTCCTTCCTCCCTCCTTCCTTCCCTCCCTCCTTCCTTCTCCCTTCCTCCCTCCTTCCCTCCCTCGTTCCTTCCCTCCCTCCCTCCTTCCTTCCTTTTCTCTTCCTTCCTTCCTCCCTCCCTCCCTCCCTGATTTGGAGCAGGGCCTTCTCACAGTTGCTGCTTCATTTATGGAACTGTCTTCTTAGATAATTGACTCCCAGGTTATTAATTTTTAGATGGCAACTATCGAATACAACTGTTGGGTTAGGTATCATCATCTCCTTATTGATGGAAGGCTTTTTAGCTGTCATATTGCACTTTTAAAAACATAAATAAATTATGCAATTTTTGTACTCCTAAAGGAGGCCAGAGTAGAATATAGAATGCACACACATATAATTTATAGATCCCACATATTGAATGCCGACTCACTCCCCAGCAGTTAGGAACAACTTGAAAGCAATAAATACGTCCATAAAAACTAAAAGCAGTTCCAGTATTAGAATCAAATTCGTTAAGGTATTTGATAGATTCTCTCTCCCAGGCATCCTAAGATCTCTTTCTGATCTTCTCTCCACTCTTCCTGCAGAAGCTTGAACGAGCTGCGGGCGTTGCTAATGGAAGCCAGCCGGCACTCGCCAGGCCCTGAACGAGACTTAAGCCGCGAGGTGCACAAAGCCGAGTGGAGGCTGAAGGAGCAGAAGCTCAAAGATGACATCAAAGGACTACGAGAAAAACTCAGCATCCTGGTGAGGACAGGGAGGGTGGAGAATTTAGGGCTGATTAGCCCAGGTGACAGGCATCGTATGCGAAGCCTCAGCAAGGCAGTTTTGCCTGGATGGGGTACGTTGTGGAGGAGATACAGTTCACCTCATCACAGCAGAATAATTGCATGAATTAGGAAAAGGAAAATTAGGGGAGACATGATAGCAGTGTTTTCAATATGTCAGGGGCTGCCACAAAGAAGAGGGAGTCAAACTATTCTCCAAAGCACATAAAGGCAGGACAAGAAGCAACGGGTGGAAACTAATCAAGGAGAGANGGAATGTGAGGCAACTGGCAGTTGGAACAGAGTTCTTTTCAGATGAGGAGGGGGAATAGAACTCCTTAGCATCAGAGCGTGTTAATTACTGTATAAGAAATACTAATGATCTGATGGTCATTTCAAAAAATCCTTTCTTAGCAAGCACCTAGAAGAGGAACGTACATGCCAAATTTCAAGTTTGTAGGCTTTATGGTTCTAGAGATTTCTTGATGAATGAGTGATACTTGGCTTTTATATACCATTAATATCTAAACTGCTGTGTGTGCAAGTGTGAGGGGGTATACTCACTTTTGTGATATACTCTATATATAGATAAGTGAAAGAATGCAACATTTAAACAGTTTAAGCTGTTAGCTAGATGGGTTTTTTTTTTCAAACTGGCCACTATGTGAGGCAGCTTGAATTCTTTCAAAAGGAAGTTCAACCATCAAGTAACATGGATTAATTAATGACCTTAGACAGCTTCATTCAGGATTCTATTTTGTTTACTATATTTAATTCATTAATTAAATTAATGAACCAACGTTTATTTTTTCTTATGAATTAAGTTACGGAAGGATAAGTAGGTTCTTGAGAACTTACTGACTATTTCAGAGTATTGAGGAAATGTATAGGAGGAAGAAGGAAAACAGACTGGAATGGTGATCACTTTAAATCTTGGTTATTGGACTTCCTGCGATGACGTCACTTCCATGTGGGTGAAGGAATGGTAGCTCTACCAGCCTGGCTCGAGTTTCTGTGGTGATGATCCTGAGAAAGGATGAGTTGAACCTGGAGGGATCAACAGGAGAGGGGGGGAGCTTGGGCGCCGAAGGAGGAAGCAAGCAACTTCCCTATCGGACAAGAGTAAACCCCTTGAAACCACTGGAGAAGAAATTGGCGTCCATGGCCAATCTTGGATGGTGACTGCCGCACACGAGGGAGAGAAAATAGCAACACAGCAGCATTGATGAGAATATTTAAAACAACTAAAACGGTATAAATTCTATTAAAGATTCTTCAAGCTAGAATTTCAAAGTGTTAAAGCGAGCTGGATACAGCTCAATGTCAGCAGCTATAAGGAGGGTGGAAAGCACTTAATTTCCTGTAGCAATGGAAGGCTTGGAGAGACTTGAGAACGGAATGGAATAAAGAGAAGAGGACAGGACTGTTGGAGTGATTTGGACAATAAACAGAAATTGGAGCCAGACAAATCAGTGACAACAGCAAAGAAGGGGAGATAACTATTTTGGAATACTTGAGAGAAAGTGGGGTGTAGAAAAGCAAACATCAGACTTTGAAGAGGGAAAAAAAGCCTATACGAAAGAAGATTAATAACGCCATCTAGTGGAGAAAGAAATAAGAACTAAATAACAAAATACAGGACAATCCTCCTGATGCANTTCAACTCCCAGAATTCTCCAGCCAGCTCTGCTGGAGAATTCTGGGAGTTGAAGTCCACAAGTCTTAAAGTTGCCAAGTTTGGGAACCACTGCCCCAGATGATAGAAGATGATCATATCAGTTATTCAGCAAATGTCCATAAATGAAATTTTTTTAAAGTTCATTTTAACCCTTTGCTTTCTGAGAGCTCCAGCTGATCACACAGTTGGTCTAAGCCATTCAAAAGCTGAACCAGTAAGAGGGCTAGTTGATTGTGGTGACCTTTCACCCTGGCCTTTCAAGACAATTAAGATGCCATAATTTTGAACTGCCTCTGGAACCCCACCAATGTTACCTGGAAAGAGGGCAAAGCTTTACAAGAGAAAATTTGTAGCTCAGGATTTAACCTTAATGCTTTCTGAGCTCCATGATTTTCTTGAAGATGCTTCATTACCAAACTAGGTAGCATCATCAGTTCTAGTATTGATGGAGGACCACCATCACCCCCATATCGGTCTGTTAGCTACTGTGGATTCACTTACTGACCATAATGATTTGTTGAACAACTGTCACAAGAAAAACCGTAAAATTGGCTCCATAAATTGATGGTCCTCTTTATGGCCAATCACAGTTATGACCATAATGGGCAGGCTCTTACCGTCATAAGTCAAGAACCGCTTGTATTTCATCATGAGAGCAGTTATCAGATTCCTAATCTGGTCTCTTGTACTACAGGAGAAACACTGATGGAAAAGAAGGAAGGAAGAGAGGAAAAGAATATGGAAATCATTGGCTCTGTTGTTGAAGAAGAGGGAAACTTGGAGACGCCTCCCCCAAAGCACCACCAAAAGCATTTCCACTCTATGAACCAAGTGGAAGTCAAGAAGGAGGGTTCCTCCCCAGTGATTTCTTTAGTTCTACGTTGGGTCCAGCTCTTCCAAAGATGCGGTACAGTGGTCGTGCCTGTGGCTGAATTTCTCTTTTGCTACCTGCAGCCTTTGGCGGTCATTTTTATTGGCATGGTGTGGATCATGTCAGGTTTTTTTGGGGAGGTACTTCCTGCTGCGCCGGCGAGATACCTCATTTCAGTGGCTTTTGAAAGACATTGGAGATTTTTCTAAGCGACGCCCCCTTTGAATACTTGCTTAAGTAGCTAATAATTTTGCACACAGTTTTCAGATTTCCCCTTCCAGATCCGCCAGATGGACCCAGATTACAAGTCTGCAAAAGAGCAAAGATCGAGCACCATTGACCATAGGGAACAACCCAATGCCTGTTTGAAGAGAATCTCTGCCCACTACGTTAAAAAAAACCCCTCTCTTGAGGTGTCAGAAATATAGAGACTTTGCTTAAAACCTAACGATATAACATGGGATACGCCTTGTGAGGTGGACCTTCTCTAACTTATTTTAACTTCAGTCATTATCAAGTCATTGGTGATTTTAGAGTTTCTGAGCCAATGGTGGACTTCTAAGCTGGTGCCCGCATAGTTACATCTCTCATCTCTCATTCAGAGATACATCATCTTTAAGCCAATGATGGTTAGCCCTTGAAACTAAAGTTGAGTTGACCTAAAGATCTAATCAGCAACTCTCTGGAGGCCAACTGAGATGTCCTTGTTTTGAGGGTGGAGGGGGGTGGGTGGCATTCTTTCTTTCTCTTCGACTTATTACGCTTGAAATTCGGAAACATTTTCCCAATAGCTCTTTTCTTTTCCTGTCTTTTTTAAACAACCTAGGCCCCGTTTCTACACGCAAGCAGAATTGCAGGGATTAAAACCCTTTACACCCAAATAAGATGCTTTTCATGTGTTTCGGATTTCAGCTTCCAATCATTAAGACAGAACTGCAAAAAAAAAGGGGGGGGGATGAATCCAAAATAGGCAGAGAATGGGTTGCCTGCCTTCGCCTCTGTTTTGCACAGATCGGTCTGTTTGTGTGTTTGTGTTCTACCACCGCAAATGACAAGGGAAGTAACTTCTGCGAGGCGACAAGTAGCTTGTTTGGGGGGGGGGGGTTGTGAAGGCCAGAAGAATTCCAACCAAACCTTTTGGAGCACAAATGCTTTGCCAGTCGGTGGCAGGAATCTTCCGATAGTATATCCTCCCTTGGTTTTCTTGCATGTATAAATTGAGACGCAGTGGTACGCAGATTTGAGAAGAGAGAATGAGTGTCTGTGAGTGTTGTCTTACAAAATGCCTTCTTTTGTAAACATGATTTGTTAAAAGAATCTGTCTAGAAATCGGTGCTAAGTAAGAACCTAAGAAGTGGTCCATACCAAGGGTCTCCAACCTTGGCAACTTTTAAGATTTGTGGACTTCAACTACCAGAATTCCTCAGTTGAAGGGAGTTGAAGTCCACAAATCTTAAAAGTTGCCAAGGTTTGAGACCCCTGGTCCAGAGGAAGAGGCCTTCAAAAAAAGATCTACTCCTCCCACCCAAGCATTCTTTCTCTTCATTCTCCCAATATTATATTGTGGTTTTTCTCCATCCCACCACCACTGTGGGATTTGAGGATTTCAGAGTCCACATTGTTGTCAGTCCTAGTAACCATTCGAAGCAAGAACACATTTCTGCTATTCTCATCAAACTCGGAGATGCCAGCTGAAAAAGAGCAAAGTGATTAACAGTCCGGATGGCGTGTCTGGCATTCAGAAATATGTATCCTACGGGTTGGATTGACCCTAGTCTGTTGGCGTAGTTTCAAAATAGTGTTACGGAAGCAGAAATCCTTTGAATGAGGGTGCTGGAATTGGGAAACCAAGATCTTAAAATGCTAAACCTACATGTTCTTTCTTTCTGTAATCCTAACCGTGTAACCCCAGTTCTGTGCTCTCAAGGATAACATCCCAGGGCACCAAAGATCCAAATGGGCTGAATCTTGGAGCAGCTGAGCTGCCGGCTCCCATGAGATCTGGAATCCAATTGGACCCTTTCCTTGGTACTTAGACCAGATTACCACACTACTCCTTTATGCCTCTTAGGCGCTGCTTCTTTCCTTGAGAGGGTTGAATTAAGAACCAGGATCCTATCATTGGGTGTCTTCTCCATGAAATTATCTGTTGAAGAGAACTGGTGGATGGAGAATGTAGGATTCCAATTGAGAAACTATCTCTCTGGGCTCTGATCAGGCATTTTAAGGTTGCGAATGTGTTTTTTGCTGCTTTTTCTCTTAAGGCGGCCAACTGATTCTCATTGAAAACTGCTACCTAGGAGGAAGTGCCATGTCAGCTTCATGTATTTTATGATCCTTCAAAAGGCCTTGGACTCTACTTTCATAGTGACGGATTTGCCAGTATGTACAGTAAACTTCCACACACTGACGTCCTCTGGTTTCATTGGGATCTCCACGCCCGTATAAAGATGTCTAGCTTTTGACTATGCTAGCTTAGTCTGGAAATTGGAGTCCCAACACGTACGGGAGTCATCAGGATGAGGAAAGTTGATTTACAGTATTAAGGATAGTAAGTTACCCATTTGTCTTCATATACCTCTATTTTTCTCCAGCTCTTTGTCATTTTTCTATATTCCTTTATTGAATTGTATCACCTGAAATGTTGCTGCTTGATCTTTTTTTTTCCTGCAAAAAAAAAAAATGGGCAGTGCAAATAATGATGGTGGCATTTTCTAATCGAGTTTGTCTTTCTTCTGTGTTCTGTTTTGATGGACAGGAATTGGAGCAAGCTGACAAGTAAAAACACAGAAAAACAATATTTTGGAGGAACTCTAATGAGATGTTATTAGTGTGATAATTCTCAACACAGGGGTTTTGGTTTTTTTTGCTTTGATAAATTATGTCTATTTGTCAGTGAACCAAAAAAATCAACACTTCTACAAATCTTTACCATCTCTTTCTTTTCACCAATACTGTTTTATCATGCCATTAATTAAAGTTATCTTTTGGGAAGTGAATTGCAGAGATGGCCGGTAAGAAGCCAGGATCTTGGAAATATAAATGAATTGTCTGTTAATGCAAAGTTTGCTGCTGCTTGGCTAATTCTATACATGTGAACAGCTTAACTAACCAGAAATAGAAAACGTACTTTGATATCTGTATGGAATCTTGGTTTATTCTACAGCTAAACGAGAGATTGATGTTGGTTTATAAACACTGGCTGTATGAGGGGCAATTAACAACGAATCCAGGTTCCAAAGACAAATGTGTTTTCTTGGGCCATCAGGCCAAAAGAAGCGGGAATTTGTACTTAGCAAACTATTCATTCATGATTAGCCAGGATTCATCAGAATTCCAGTTTACTTTTGTATGCAAACACTGTCTTTGAAAGAAGAGTGTCAATTAACTTCTTTATTTTCCATCTTCTGATAGAGAGCTGGAATTATTTGAGTCCTTTCCAGCTGCTTGTTTGTTTTATTTATTCACCTAATGGCAAAATTTGTCCATTATGACCCTTAAAAACTACTAGTAGCTTATCTTCACAGGATTGCAAGCCAAAGTAATTGTGCTATTGTGTTTTCCCAAAAATAAGACAGGGTCTTATTTTCTTTTGGCAATCCCCCCCTGAAATAAGCACTTGGCCTTATTTTTGGGGAGGTCTTATTATTTTTGAGGTGCAGGAGGCGGCGAGCGTGGTCACCTCATGCCTGCTGCTGTGTTGCAGTATTTTCAGGGATGGCTTATTTTCAGGGGAGGGCTTATTTTAGGGCATGCGCTCAAAAGCCTGATTGGGCTTATTATCCAGAGCGGTCTTATTTTCGGGAAATCAGGGTATATTACAAGCAAGAGGCCAGTCCATCCTACCATTTTCATCAGGAGGAAAAAGAAATGGAAAGCAAAATTACGCAACAAAAAATGTTATAAAAGCACTAACATTCCTGGTTTATTTTCCAGCTCTTCTGGCTTTTAAGCAACAGGAGGGTTAGTGGGACACTTAATGAAAGTCTGAACTTATAGCAATAGCAGTTAGACTTATATACCGCTTCATAGGGCTTTCAGCCCTCTCTAAGCGGTTTACAGAGTCAGCATATTGCCCCCAACAACAATCCGGGTCCTCATTTTACCCACCTCGGAAGGATGGAAGGCTGAGTCAACCCTAAGCCGGTGAGATTTGAACAGCCGAACTACAGAATTGCAGTCAGCTGAAGTAGCCTGCAGTGCTGCATTTAACCACTGCACCACCTTGGCTCTTATGGCATTGCTGTGTGGTAGATGAGTGGGACAGGTCTATGGCAGTTTGCCACAGCCAACTTGTTGCAGCCAACTCACAAAGGCCAGCTTGCCACCGTCAACTCGCCGTGGGACAAGACGCTATTATCAAAGAAATGGTGAAATAGAATCCTTAAAGAAAGGATGCAAAAGGCGGGAGAAAATGAAACGGGAATGACAAAATATATATATATTTTAAACTTTATTTTCAATAATTAAATTGCATTGCTAAATTGTCCCGTGGTGAGTTGGCTGCAATGGATTGGCAGCGGCGAGTTGCCCCATTCCGAAGCGGGACTGCCAAAAATCCAGAAAGTTGATCTCCCCCCCCCCTTGCCCCGTAGGAAACAGCAACTTTGTACAATTTTGGCAGCATGGTTGATAATCTTGTGTCTCCTTTTGAAACGGAAGTGCAGATGTAGTCTTCTACATCCCGTGCACATTAGGTTCTCAAACGGATGCTTCCCAGACTTACTAGTCTCTAATTCTCAAATATAACATGCTGAGAATTTTGGTATAGTCCAGTACATCTAGAGGGTACCAAATTTGGGGATACTGCATTTTGCTATGGTCAAGCCATTCTCCAAACCATCTGAGGGTAGAACAAGGAGCAATGGATGGAAACTAATCAAGGAGAGAAGCAACCTAGAACTAAGGAAAAGTTTCTTGGGAATTAAAACAATTTATTAGTGGAACAACTTGACTCCAGAAGTTGTGGGTGCTCCAACACTGGAAGTTTTTAAGAAGAGATTAGACAACCATTTGTCTGAAGTGGTGTAGGGTTTCCTCCCTAAGCAGGGGGTTGAACTAGAACAGTGGTAGTCAACCTGGTCCCTACCTCCCACTAGTGGGCGTTCCAGGTTTCATGGTGGGCGGTAAGGGTTTGCTGTAACTCTGCTTTATAAATTTTATAAAGTAAAGTTACTTCCCTACTTTATAAATCACCATTAATATGGAACCGGTGGGCGGTTAGAAAATTTTACTACTAACAGAGATACAAAAGTGGGCGGTAGGTATAAAAAGGTTGACTACCCCTGGACTAGAAGGCCTCCAAGGTCCCTTCCAACTCTATTATTCCTCTTTGTGTTTCAAATAAATATATGCATAGCCATTTCACAGGAAGTCAAAATCCAACTCCAGGGCAACTATCAATGGAGAGCATTCAGCATTTATTCTT